CTCCTTTTGTTAAAGGCCGGCCTTCCCCTAGGACCTGATTGTAAGACAAATTATATTCAAACTTTCCACTGTCTCGTTAGCGTACATTGCTTTTGGCTTTCACGTGCTGTGTTAGCGTTTGAACAAAAGTAGAAAAAAGGATTTTCTGACCTGATGAAGTACGACGTTCATAATGGTTATGTCCTGCTTGCCGTTTTTAGCAAATTCCGGCCAGAATTCCGATACTTTCCTGTCGTAGGGTACACCTTCGCAATCCATTACCATTGCAAGAATTGTAGTGGCTAGACTCTGAAACACCCACGTAGGATCAGAAATCGAGAGAGATTCGGCAAAATGTTCTCGCTTGAAGGAAATTTTGTGAAATTTGTAGGTGGATGTATTATTATGCGTTGCAGTGTATGAGACCCCTTATTCGACCATGAGAGAAAAAGGGGTTAGCGTACTATAACAGTCACAGATTCAACTCGAAAATTCAAAGTTGAATTCAGAAAAGGCTATCCTATAAATTTTCATCGAGAATAATAACAAAATTCAATCACCTTTCTTTATTTTCTAATAAAAATACGAAAAGGATCACAATCACTTTGTACCTTTGTTGTCGAAAACATGACCGACATCGTGTTTTCCATCCATGGCTGGCCAGTGTCTCGATTTTGAGCTCCACCCCACAGATCGACAACCAGCCGTCCGTTTTGATACACGGCAAAGCAGGCTCCAGCCGACTCAAGACCCATGGAGAAATTTTCCCTGGAAATTGAAAGTGACTGTGAAGGATACAGGTGCGGCTCACAAAGACTGTAAAGACAAACAACCTCCAAGTTTTACCGTGAGTTTGAAAAGACAATGTAGGGAGCTTTCAGTGGTAGTCGATATTTTTAGCATTCTGTTTCCCTTAGAGTTTTCGCATATAGCAGTGAGTATTTAAGCAACTTTTTGCAAAGACTTGCAGGTCATGCCCGAAGTAAAAATTCAGGCGCAGTTCAAGACCACGAGCATTACAAGATTCGGACCATGGCTTGATGTTGACAGGCACGCGAGCCGGAGTCCGTGCCATTTGACGTTGTACGAACCCACGCCGGCCCATGGGTGTTGATGTGAACGAAACTGCGACTATCCCACGGTCGTGATTCAGCGATATGCTTTTGTGAAATTTAAGAGTCGATTAATGAATAACTAGCTCACCTGCAGCACATTGACCATTTACTGTGCACTTTTTGGGCTACGTCTAGGCATTTTGCAAACAAGCGTCTCGTGCGATCCGCTACGAAAATGAGTGCATGGAGTTTCAATTTCAAAAAAAAGCGGGGCAGAGGATGGACATCATTCCAAGCTCACTTCATGGCTAGACGACAGTGGCCTTTCGCCTTTCTCCATCTCTTATTTTTCGGCACACCTTTCTTTCGCGAGTGAAGCATACACTTGCAAAATGGAGCCCACATAGGGAGGGCTGGCAGTTGCCAATTACTGGCTGCTGTTTGGTGGTTGAAGAAACCAGCGCTTTTGATGCGTGATCCGCGGATATATGTCTTGCTTCGCATCAGATTAACTTTTTCATAAAGGCTAGGTCATTGGATTGACACGCCCCAGGATCTAAACCACTGTGACTGCGCAAGAGATACGAAACTAGGCCGACCGAGTGTGAGATGAGGGGGCGTAGTAAGCGAGAACGCGCCAGACTACAACTTAAACATTGCAACTGACTTAAACACTACAACTAACTTTGCAAGCCCTAGCGCCGTCTATTCGCGTGTTTCCATCGGCATAGGAAGTCCACGCCTGTAGCTCTCCTTCACGGAGTACTACCGCTACGATTGGAAGCCATTCGTACACACAGTTATCATGCCTGGTTGTGGCATCAGACAAAATAACATACACAATCCAGTTGATAATCGTGAAATTCAAACGAAAATCCAGAATCAGATAACAGTTGCAGCCATGCAACCCTTCCGGGAAAGCCTTCCTAGGATCATATCTATCTACAATCTGAAGCTGCATAGCATACCTGAACACATCGTCGATGCCACTAAATCGTGGATCAAGGATTCGCCCATCGACCGGTAGGAACAGCATGAACCATAACGACAGCCACAAATATCTCTTCTGAAATGACCACTTAGTGACCGGCAGTGTAAAATATCCTAACGCTTTCCTAGTGGAAATACCCGGTTCAATATGCGATAGTTTACATCTTGATATCTCTACGAACAACGTATAAAAATGAGCTGAGCCGAAGCTAAAAAGAAGTCTCAGGGAAACAGACTTACAAAAAAGACTGAAAACAACACGTCCATCACGGATAGCCTAAGGCAGATTAGTACTGAATATGGCAGCGATATGCGATCACTGGAAGTGCTATAGAAAAGGTGATGTGGAAAGCAAAACAAATGCTAGAACAGAAACGACGTTGTCACTCAATAGTGCCAGAGAGATGAAGCAGCTCTACTGGTTTTTGTCCACTCGAATTTGCTTATTGAAGCGTAAATAGTCAAGCGAACGTGTAAGCCAAGAAGATGGACACGGCGAATGTAGTGGGTGTGCCAATATTATAACTATCACCGATGATGTTCATTACTATCGGTTCCTCGCTGTGATATGAGCACCTAAATTGTTATGGTTCACGTTTACGGTCATAAAAGGAGAAAACAATGAGGGAAACAATCCATTTTTGGGATATGCCACGCATTATACTCTCATTCGATGCCTTAGTGACTCTTTGAATGCCATGTCTCCTATAGAACTGTCAGGAGGGTTATGAAACTACCCTGCACGCCAGCGTCCTTCTTCCCCGAGACAAGTCCAAGTCCCGTAATAGTCACCCGGCTCCATAGGGATGAATGGCTCGGTAGGCCTGGATGGCCTAATATCCTCCTAGCAAGATTCAAGATCCGATCCCAGGACCGTGCGTGTGATACGCTGAGACAATTGCCGCCATACCACTTCACCTTTCTCACGATAACTGCGGGAAAATAAGCAGAGAACTACTCAAAAACAGGGAAGAAATCATCGATGGTCGATGACCATTTGTGGTGCGCCAAGGCTTCAGTTTTTGTTCAGAAGCGGTCGAGGCCAGGTTAGAATTTGAACTCGTCTTCGGACCAAACAGATTTTTGAATTTCGACATTTTGGATGCCACTCTTCGGTTTTTTAAGTTCCCGAAGAAGTTCGAAAGCTTTATGTTCCTATGCCCGTCCTAGAAGAGTTTTTGACTAATTAAACGCCACTATAGGGATAAAAGGCTTGATTGATTGTGTTATAATCGACCATAGGATCAAAGGTGTGGTGGCAGCATAGTTGCCACTCTCATGCAACTGAAAGGTTTCCAATGGATGCCAGGTGCTTATGTAGCAATTGTGTGCTGTTGATATTCCAGCCTGCTTCACAATTATTCATGTCTCAAAAAACATCTCGCTTTAAGTGAAACATGGAGAGAAGAGAGGGAAAGAATGGAGTGCAGTTTTGGTGTGACTCTTGGAGGCTTTGCTGCAATCTATTAATTGAATGTCCGTTTCAGTCAACAGAGAAAACACAATGAATAAAGTGGGACTGATCAAGAAACCTTCGATGAGAACATTTTATTTATTCATTGGGTTTGAGAGCCGCGCATACATATGTGTAAATTCCATGTTTGCCAAAAGTGGGCGGGTCTATACGGCCGTTCTATCGGGCATCTGAAGGAATCGTGAGGTTCGGGCTGCTAGTTGGAGTGTTCATCTTGTGCGTTGAAACTTTAGACGGTTTCAAATGCCGAAAAGGAATTCTAAAAACAGTGATTCTGTAAGCGATGGCCAACTCTTTTAAGGGTTCTTATCCTTCCTTGATTCCGATGATAAGTGAGACGAACCAGCGATATGGATCGTAATTCTCTGACCGAGAGTATAATTACATGAAACGACGTACGCTTTTCTGAAGTTGTGATGTAATATGTGCGATTTGAAGGATTTTGCAACGGAACAATTTTTCCTTATCATCATTCACGAATACTGGAAAGACTTGGTCAGTAACGCCACCAGCAATCATCGCAAATAACTTGATTAATATGGGAAAATATTAAGATATGATTCGATCTACAAGAAAAAAAATCAAAAATGCGGTATAATTTGCCAATTTAAGCGAAAACCATACACCACCCGAAATTGATTTCAATGCCAATATCTATTGAACTTGATGATGATCAAGACAAACAGGGTACAGTAGCGTTCATCAGCCTTCCTCTCATGGATGAGCCATGCACATTACTTCCATTCGGCACTGCAGTGGTACTTTAGTGCAATGTGGCCCAAACAATGATCTACGGCGACAGCCGATATGATAGTCAGTGTTTTCATCCTCGTAAACAGATCTGGTACCGACTAACCTAACCCATCGCAGGGATGGGTAAGATTGGACCCAGAATATGGCAGAGTTGGATAGGAGTCGACCCAGGATATGGCTCCCGTACTCTGCGCGTCATAAGCTATGCCGCTTGTCGACGTCCGTCAAAGCAACTGCTAATTTGTTTCAGAGGTATTTTTTTTCAATGGATCAAAATGAAAAGTGGAAAGGGGAATGGATCAAAAAAATGGAGATGGAAATGGATCAAAAGGGATGGAAAGCGTAGACATGATACAACTTCTACAGTGAGGCCAAGAAAACAAGGGGGTCCCTTTGCTTGAGAAACTCGCAAAGAAATCGTTCCCATATACATATGTATAACAGTTTGCAAGTGAACGCTAAATACTGTTCTCTTATCCTCTGAATCCCAACTGAATGAACATCCAATGCATGGCGCACACCGGGATTTTCATTGAACACTTCACTTTATTTTGCATCTTCTTGAACTGAAAAAGTTCTGATGAGACGTTTTTTGCAGGATTCTCTGCATGAGGTTAGAAAGCTAATTTTTCATAGCTTATACAAACTTGGGAAATGCTGATTTCTCCCTTTCCGAAAAACAGAGCGAGGAATTTCCCTTCAATTTGAAAAAAAAATGCTAGAAGATATAGAGGAGCCGGAAGTCTTCAATAACGACTCGAAAACAAAATGTCAATACAATTCAAATAATCGCGAATTCTTTGCTTAATATTCAAAAGGCGTTGCTGCAGTAGAACAATCGAAGTGTTGACATGAAAAGGGTGAAGCTATTGAGAAGAAAGATTTCCGGCAATAATCTATGATTGCTTTTCGCAACGGCACTGAGCAGGATGGGCTTTGTAGGTTTTCCCACGCCGCTACTTGCATCAGCAATTTCTTCGACGAAGAGACCTGAGTTCTCGCAAAAGTACTTTGACTAAGGAAATTGAAACAACAAT